TTCCCTTCCCTTCCCTTCCCTTCCCCCTTCCCTTCCCTTCCCTTCCCTTCCTTTCCTTTCCTTCCTTTCCTTTCCTTTCCTTTCCTTTCCTTTCCTTTCCTTTCCTTTCCTTTCCTTTCCTTTCCTTTCCTTTCCTTTCCTTCCTTTCCTTTCCTTTCCTTTCCTTTCCTTTCCTTTCCTTTCCTTTCCTTTCCTTTCCTTTCCTTTCCTTTCCTTTCCTTTCCTTTCCTTTCCTTTCCTTTCCTTTCCTTTCCTTTCCTTTCCTTTCCTTTCCTTTCCTTTCCTTCCCTTTCTTTTCCCTTTCCCCTTTCCCCTTTCCTTCTCCCCAGCAGCCAAAAAAATGCAATCAGTCATTCACACAAGCCCTAAACACTGATCCAGCTGATGAATTCCAAATCTTTCCTTGGAGATGGGGGAGCTGTTGAGAGCCCAGAATTGAGTTGTACTCTATAATTTCAATTCCAAGCTTTATCCTTGCCCAGTTCTGGCCAAAATTACAGTAATTGTCTCAGAAACTGAGGGTTCCTGGCCAGTAATGGAAGCAGGGAAGGATAAAACCATCCAGTCTTCTCCAGGTCAGGTAATTTGCAACAAGATCCTTGGAAATGTGACTGTCACAAACCGGGAAAGGGCTCCTACCCAGCCAAGAGGGACCTTCTCCCATCATGGACCAACATGTTTGGAATTATCTCGAAAGCCAGAGAATTCTTGGAGCCCCCTGTTTAGACTCCTGCCTGTGAACTAAAGAGCTGAGGAGAACTGGAATTTAGTGGCCAACTAGATCACACTTGGTGGGGTGAAAATGCATGAAAACCTGCATGCATTCCAACTCAAAAATCACATTACACACATAAATCTCTTAAACATAATAAATTCCTTCCTCACTGCCAAATAAGATCATATTTCTACCAGATTCCCATATTTTTTTAGCTGGGAGCAGATAGGACATAATGAAATATTATGGATTTTAATGGCTTTATGCCAAAGAGCTCAGAATTAAGTGGCTGATAAGGAACAGCCATTGAATTAGGTATCCCAGAGCAATAAACCTGTAAGAGCTGAGGGAGGCAGATTCTTGGCAGCAGTGCCCACCTCAGTGTTGGGGTACTGCTGCTGGTATTTTATTTAATTTATAAAATAGGTTTCACAAGTGGATTCGGGTAAAAAAATGACAATTGGGTGCACTTTTCAGGAGAGAAAAACAAATCTGTAGGTGTTGGTTCAACCTAGTTTATTTCACATTGAGTATTGGCATCCCTGTGCTTTAAAAGCCACTTCCTTGCTTTGGAACTGATATTTAGTGACAGAGCTTCTGTTTGTCACCCAGGACACCTAATTATCAATGTATTGAAGTCCTGAGTTGAATTAATTGTCCCAGCCCTGGAAATGTTCATGGCCAGGTTGGATGGGGCTTGGAGCAACTTGGTCTGTGGAAGGTACCTGTTGGAATTTGTGGTATTGATGATTCCAAGATTGTAGAAAGTCTCTGTCTGTCAGCCCCACTGCCAAAGAAGAAGCCATAATTCGTCTGTGCTGGTTTCAAGGTTGTTTATTCTGTTTATCTCTAACATGTTCTGCTGCCCTGCCGCAGCTCTGTCCTGCAGGGCAGCGTGTGGGGCTCTGCCCTCAGTGGGATGGTACAAACATTAAATACCACAAACTACCTGTGCTGGATTTACAATAACGTGCCAATATCTGTCACCTACGTTGGACAGTGTGTCCCCAGCCTAAACCAACAGAAAAATGCCAACACCACAGTGAAACATGGAGGGCATGAAGAAGGAGAAAAAGGACAAGACACACCTAATTTCCTCCATCTTGTCCCCTTTGAACCCCTAATTTAGAAACTTAAAATTTGACTTTTGCACCCATGCCACACTTAATTATTACTTATATCAAACACTCAGAGCTGGTAATTCATCCTGTAAGATTGAAAACTCTTTTCCATGAGCAGAGATCACAGACAGTGTCTCTGGGGGCTCTGTCCAGGGGGTTCCTGACCCCTGCCAGGGTCCCAGACCTTCCAGGGCAGCCAGAGGGAAGCTCTGGATTCCCACAGGTACCCCGCCCATTGCAGGGGATGGAACAAAATGAGCTTTTCCATCCCAAACCATTCTGTGATTTTATGATTCCTCTTAATGTTTGGACAACAAAATATGCTTTAGATTGTCCTGTTTTCCCCATCAAGCACATCAAATCACAGGCTTACAAGCCAAATGTTTTCCTTTCTTTTTCCTCCATCTCAGTCATTGTACAATAATCATGTAGATTTACTCTGCAAACCAAGGGCAGGGATGATTGATATTGGCTGGTTTCAGCATTCCAAGTTACTTCCTGCACCCTTAGGCTGTGTGTGGGAAGGATTCAAGATGTTGATCTAGACTGGGAGGAGTGGAGATGTTTCCAAGAGTAAAGGTTTAATCAGTATTGATGGGGGGGATGGACTCTAGGAGAATTTTAGATTCATAAAAAGGGATCTGTTGCCATGGACAGGAAACCTTTGCCTCTCTGGTCTTTAGATGCAAGGCCAGTTTAATTCTGAGCTTTCTACACCAGTGCCTGACAGGAGCTGGTGGAGTCCCCACCCCAGGAGGTGTCCAGGGAAGGGCTGGAGGTGACACTCAGTGCTCTGGGCTGGTGACAAGGTGGGCATCAGTCACAGGCTGGACTCTGGTCTTGGAGGGCTTTCCCAACCTCAGTGATCCTGTGATTCTGTGATCTGGGAAATGGCCATTTTAAGATTTCATTACCACTCACCTGCCTTTGTTCTTATGATACAGCAAAGGAGTAAATGCATACGGGGTTATGTGGTTCTCTGAACAGAGGGAGACATGTTTCTCTCTCCCGGGATTTTTCCTTGGAAGTTGTGAGACACAGTGAGAAAGCTCAGAGAAAGAAGAAAATTCTTATCTCTACTAGCTGCTCCTGTTGTTTGGCACACGTGGAATGTGTTATGGAGATTGTTTATTGAAGAATGATTTGTTAATTAGACACTGGTAATGGTTGTTTGGATTGATTGGCCAGTTGGGTCAAAGCTGTGTTGTGATAGAGACAGTCACAGGTTTTTTCTTGAGTATCTTTTGAGTATGATATAGTTCTAGTATAGTACAGTATGAATGTAATATAATTTAGCTTAATAAAAGCAATTTATTCAGCTGTCTGCAACATGGAGTCCAAGCGTGTTATTCCCCACGCAGGGAGGTCGCACTGCTTTGACTGGGTTCTACAGAAGGAATGATTTCCCTCTGAGCCCTGCCAGTGTCAGAAGAGGTTTTTAGGCTTTCAGAAAGTTCAGTGTTACAGCTGTGTCACCATGCCTAGGCTCTTTGTGCCACATGTCCTGGGGATCCTCGGACAGCCCAGCATTTCTCTGAGCTGAGGAGAGCCAAATCCCCTCTGTGGATTGTACTGAGTCACAGTCCAGTTTATATCTCCAGTTTATATCACAGTCAGTATATGTGAAGGTGTAGGTACAACCTGCCTGTGGAATGAAGATGATTTAGCCACTAGGATTGATCCACTACATGGGAAATTGCTTTAATGTCATGGAGATCACAAAAGTCCTCATCCTGGTATTCTGCCATGGAAACCGTGGGGGATCAAAGGAAGAGGATGCCATTTGCCATCTTTAAACATGTTTCTTTCTAATAGAAAAAGATGCCATTGCAGTCATGAAAACTGAGCTTACACAGAGAAGCCCTAAAAGCCAAGCTCAAAACCTTCCAGAGGTTGTGATTGCACGTTCCATCAAACTCAGAATAATAGTATGTGCCTAAGAAAAGCCACGCTTTGCTCTTTGCCAGCCAGGAAGGACAGAGAGGACACACAGCTGGGACCAAAGAGGGTTGGGCTGATTTTTTTTTTTTCCAGACTTCTCAGGTGATCTTCATCAAACCCACTTACATTAATTTCTGAGCATTGATTTGAGTTCCTCATGTGGAAGCTGTTTTTTGGCAGGATGGGATTATCCTCACCTCTACAGACACAGAATAAATGTAACTGGCTGGTTTTCCCTTCCCCCAGCCCTCAGAAGTTGTTTTCCTGATTTCTGGCTTAACCCACAGGGAGATCAGTGGAAGTTAGTACAAACTGCTTCACTTCTCAAAACACCCAGAGCATCAAACCCCTTGATTTTAAATGAAAATGGTTAATCCATGCAGAAAGAGGGACAAATACAGCCAAGGCTTGTCATTTCAAGTTGTAGGTTTGACCTTTATCAGCAGTGTCAGCACTGGGTGTAAATAAGTTTAAGAAGGGGGTGAGTGGCCAAACTGGCCCTGTGGACATGGAAAAGCTCACTGACCTCTTGTTGAGATCTATTTTCACTGCCTGATATCTGTGTGCATCAAATAATGTGTCTTTGATATGAACAATTATGGTTCACTTGTGCTTGCCTGCTGGGCTTTTCTCCAGCACAGAGGAAGGCTTGTGCTTTGTTCTGAGCAATAAAGATGTTTGCTGGAGGATATTCCAGCAACAATCAACACATCCGTATTTGTGTGGGGGGTTGTACGTTCCTGTGGATGTAGGAATCATCTCACACCTGTGGATTGTGACAAAACGACTGCAGAGTATTTGTGATTTCATGGTTGTCACCTCCACACATCAGTCCTGCCTCCAAAGGACCATCCATGCACCCAGCTCGTGCAGTGGTGGAGGTTTTGGGGTCAGTTATGTTGGATTTGGTACTGGTTCTTCTGCTGGCACAGATGTTCCCAAAGAAGGTCTACACAGAACTCCCATCTACTTGAAGATGTCCCTGCTCACTGCAAGGACTAAATGGCCTTTCAAGGTCGTTTCCAATGTTAATATTTCTATGATTTTATGATTTTAAGAGTGATTTGGTCTAGCTGGTTAACCTTTCAAAGTATGAGGTCATTATGCTTAACTCTAAGCAGGAACCTCCAGGTCACAACTTCCTTCTCAGTTCTCCTTCTCTGTGTCTTCTCCAGGACTGTGAGGAATAAATGAAAATATCAGGTGGAGCACCTCAGACACAATGTCTTCACGATGGTTTTATTGCTTGTTTCCAGCAGTGTCAACCACAGAGAAGAACCCCCTCTGAAGCAAGGAGGTGAACCAAATACAAAGGACAAAGGAAAAAAAAAACAACAAAAAGGAAAAAAAATAGCCATTTCATTGCATATGTACAGAGTCAGACCAAAAATAAATAACATCAGGCAAAAGGCCATGGAACAAGGCAGAGATTTCACCTGTGCTGAGCAAGCAGGCCTGTTCTTGCTGGCGTGGAGGGTACATCACAAGCACCTGGCACAGAGAAGCCCACAGAGATCCTCTGCTCACAGCCAGTGCCCATCACCCTCTGCTGCCAAAGCCTATTTACAGGAGGGCAGAGCACAGGTCTTTACAGCTTGAGTGAGAAGGGTCAGATGGCACCAGCTGCTGACCCACAGCTTGAGGTGTTTGAAACAGGCTCTGAAAAATGCACTTTTGAGTTCAAAACGGCCTTTTTGAACTCCATTTATCATCATCATCTGAGTATCAAAAATGTGTTTTTTTTTTTTTTTTTTCTTCTTAAATGTGCTCTTCAGATTTCCTCTATGTACAAATGTACAATATCCACAAAACTTGGGTATAAAACACTGGTGCTCTGCTGCTGTCAATGTGTGTGTCCTCAGGGTTTGACCCTCAGAACACAAGTGGGAATTATTTTCCTTACAGACCTGTAGCTTCCAGTCCCAAAGGTTTGCTTTCTCCCCTGTGATTTCACAGTATTCTAGAAATAACCAGAGTTTCAAACCCAGGGCTCTTCAGCACAGGATCATGCAAGTTAGGATGTTCAGGAAGAGGTGGAAAAGATGATCTGTGCTCCAAAGAAGCTTCAAAACTTAGTTTACATCTGCACGTGTCTCCAGGGAAAATAACAAGGTCCGTCACTGTAATTATACCTCAGCAGTCTGAAATGCAAATATTGGGTTTACAGAGGGGATGAAAAGCTGACTGACTGAAGGGGAATTGATTGAAATCCACATTTTGGGACATCTGACTCCACCTGCCAGTCTGGGACTTGAATCTTTTCCTTATTACAGCAGTTTAGTGCCTGAATGATGCCAGCAGAGTCCTTCTGGATGGATGTGGGTGTGTGTGACCCCCTGCTCTTCAGGGTTCATCTCCAGTGAAGCAGCTTTTTGGTACTGGCCCCATCATTACCAGGGTGGGAAAAGTGCAAATTTGCATTGTGAGGCAGGGAATTTAGGATTGCAATCCCTGTCCCAGGAGTTTGGCACATTCATGGCTGCAGAGTTGCTGTGGGGGGAAGCCCAAGGCTGGGAGGGAACCAAACACCCAGCCTGAAAGCAGGAGGGATATTTTACTGTGGGCTTTCCTGTTACACTGCATTCACCTGCCAGAGAAGGGACATTGCTTCTGGTCCACCTGTGTTTCCACAGGCCACTTATCAAACCAAGATGGATCTGTGTGGTCAGAATAAAATAAGCTTCCTGGAGACACACATTGGCTCTTCTCAGTTTGAGAGATTCCCTTTTGGTCTGAAGTTATTTTGTATTTCCCTTCCCCTTGTTTAAACCCTGGGGTGAAGCTGGAAAGAATGGAGACAAAAAATTCCCACCAAACCCCCTTTAATCCCTGCCATGGAGCCAAGTGGCGTTCATTCACTCCTGAGCTTTCTTTGGAACTTCATTTTGCTTTTGAAAAACTACCATCAATCTTTCATTCATCACCAGGTGCATTTCTCTCTGAAAGCATTTCCATCAGATTGGAGCAGAGATTTGGGTTTAATCCCTCTGCCCTGTGGCACAGACATGACCCTCATTGCTTTTGAGATGAATGGGAACCCACTGCAGTGGGATATAGAGAAAGAAGGAAATCTGATGATTAGTTCATGTATAAAATATCTTTTCTCCAGCAACACCTTCCTGAAGAAAAACATAACTTTTTTCCTAACAAAAAAAACCCCAAACAAACAAAAAATAAAGCAAAATTCTCAGGTCTTTCATCTTCTAGCTTTCCCCCCTTTTCATTCCACAACTGCAGTAATGCTGCTGCTCCTGCATACATAAATCTGATATTAAAAACTTGTTTGATTTTCATGCCCCTAAAATTCTGCAACAGAATTTCTTTTCTAAACCCTAAACATGGTCATATTCTCATTTCTTGCTGTTTGTGAGAGGGTCACAAAGCAACAGAGGTCCAATCTGAACAGAAATATCCACAGTCTAATGTTAGCATTGAACCTGTTACCTCTAGACTTTGACAATAATTTATTGTTTATATTTTAATTGTTCTGTACTTAAGAATAAATTTAATAATTCAATCACTGAAGTATAGAACAGGAGAGGCTTACTCTATCCCTGATGTAAAAAGTGAGTAAGCAGCTCCAGAATGAAGAAAAAGGGATTATTTTGAAGGCAAATCCCAGTTTAATGCTGGTGTCATTCAGGAGTCACTGCAGTGAGCTGATTGGTGCAAGCAGGATCAGAATTTGGCTTTATTTCTATAAAGAGTTTTGGAGCCCAAATTCATGATCCTCAAACATGTGCCTTTTAACAGAGGCAGAAGGAGCTTTAACACCTTTTGAGAGGCACACCTCAGATCTTGTTATGCAGCAAATGGATGCAGTTGTCCTGCTGGGGTCAGGCTGGAGCTGGGGGAGCAGCAAAGGTGCTGAGCTCTGTCCTGTGCTCTGTGTGGGGCCAGGCCATGGGGCCAGGACAGCTCCCTCCACCTTGTCATCTCCACTGAAGTCCTTGAATTCCATTTTATTGATGAGTTGGAGGAAAAACAGAGCAGACCAGGCCAAGTGATGGAGCCAAATTCCTGCACTGAGCCAGTCAAACAGGGCCTGAGCCCAATGTCCTCATTCACTTGGTTGCTCACATGGCTCCCCAGAGTGGGGGGCTCTGATTTCACCCCCAGCTCCTCTGTTTTCCTGGAGCACAGGGCCAGGGCAGCTGGGCTGGCAGCTCTGCATCTCTGACATTGCCATGCCTGTCCCAGCAGGTCCGTTCAGCACGTTCATTTAATCCCTCAAAAACCCTTGACAGCAGAAAGGCAGCGTGGCTGGATGTTCTGCAATGAAATAATTGTGAGTAGGGTGCCTTGGGGCACAGTTCTGCCCTGCTGAAGTACTCCACACGTTTTGAAGGAGCTCCTCAGCTCAAGAAACATCCCATCTTCAGGTTCCTGTGCAGAACAGCCTGGTGGGGAGCGTGACAGGTTGCAGAGGAGCCTGTGGTGAGGCTGAATAGCCAGCTGGGTTTTTTCCCTGTCACATCTCCAAGAGGCAAACCTCTCCTGGCTGTCTTTGGCATATGGCTGGTGCTGGCACAGGTTAGCACAGGGCTGGAACACAAGAAAAGCTGCAAACACACAAATTTCCTCCTGCAAATGGAGAGGAAAAGGGAGCACAGGGAGAGGAAAGGGAAGGTGAAGAGCAGAGGGAAAATGCTCAGTGTGTCTCAGAGCTGGTGGCTCACAAGGCTGCCTGGAACAGATGGGAAGGGATTCCCTCACATCCCACAAAGGAGGCTGCTGGCAGTGCTGCTGCACTTCTGCTCTACAGCTCCGTGCTCCAGCTCCTCTGCTGCTTGGCTGGGACCTGAAATTCCAGTTCACACCTCAGTGGATGCATTCCCAAGGTTGGGCAGTGCTCCTCTGCAGCCCATCGGTTTTGTTGGGTATAAATATTTACCATGACAGATGAACAGGGGGAACGGCTTTGCAGCCTGATGAATCCAATCTTTCCCAGACTGACATTGCTTCAAAACTCTGAACCAGTGAAACAAAGCATTTTACACCAAGTGGAACAGCTTGGAAGCTGAGACAGAATTTCCCCTTGCTTCTTCTGGGTTTCCTTGAAGTTAGTCATTCACCTGGAAAAATGCAGGTCAAATCCTTGCTTTGAACCAGGCACAGCAGAAGAACTGGTGGTACTGGTGGGATTTCTCCAGTATTTCCTGGGTGAGTTCTAATCCAGGTCTGAAAATGCTCAGCAGAGCAACACCAGCACCAAACACAAAGAGAATCACAGAATATCCTGAGTTAGAAGGGCCCCACGGGGATCATCGAGTCCAGCTCCTGGTCCTGCACCAGACAACCTCAAAAATCACACCAAGTGTCTGAGTGCATCGTCCAAATTCTTCTTGAGCTCTGACCAGGACCACTTCAAAGGTTCTTGCCTCTGAGAACCTTGTGGATTTCAATGGGGTATTGTTTGAGGGGTGTCAAGGCATAAGGGCTTCACTGCAAGCAAAGTGGGAAAATTTTGAGCATCCTCTTGTTTTCCCTGCATTTTGGGAATCAGGGAGCTGCATTTTGATGATTTTATGGCACATCAGAGTTGGATTCTCTCTGTTGATGTGGGCTCAGTGTAAAGTAGCCATAACAAAGCTGGTTCATACCTGGCCAGCCTGGGATTACCAGCACTGTAATTCCAGGAATTTTCACATCTTCCTATCCTTTTAGGACCTACAGGCTGGGTAGGTATGTGACAGGATCTGAGCTGGCTCCCTGCAATCACAGTCCCACACCTGGAGAAATACTTTGGGAGCATCCAGCCCAGCTGGTAACAGGTTCTGGGAGAGGTTATGGCACGGAACACTGCCCTGTCAGGACTCAGAAGGGATCTGCAAATCTCCTCCTGGGCTCAGAATTGTTGGCATCGTTTGCTAAAGGCCAACAACCCCAACCCCACCAGGCTGCAGGTGCTTCCCTCCAATGGACTGCATTTCATAAAACTGGTGAGTTGAGATCTCTGAGCTCTAAAACAGGGCTCACCTCCCTCTCCAGGTGCCTGTGTTGGTGACCCAGAAATTATTTCATGAGGACATGTTTTAGTAGCATGGCAGCAGCCCAATTACTGAAGGTACTCATGAGTTGGGCAGGGATTTCTCACCCTCAGCATAAAACCTTTTCAACCCTATTTGATGCAGCTGAGTGGGACACAAACATGAGCATCTGTATCCCTGTATTTTCTGTCTTCTGACTGAATTTGGGATTGTAGGGTTGCCTCAAATGAGCAGGACTGGCCTTTAACATTTCTCCTTTGCCCCTCCACCACAAAAACAAGAATTAAAAAAGCCCTACTCCCTTGGTTTTAATGGGATCCACGTGCATTCTTCAAGTAGGAATTGCCCCTGTATGGAAACTAACAGGCCTTCAGAAAAGAGGTAAAGTGCACACACAAATCTTAAATATCTAACAATGCCTTCAAATAGTATGAAAGCTCCCCAGAAAAGCTGAAGAAGAAATACATTTAGTAGCTCTTTCACTCCTTCCTCCTTCCTGGAGTGCCAGTTGTGTGCTGAGACAACCTTGTTCTGATGAAAGCAATTTTATCTGCTGCTGGGACGCTAATTTTTTTCATCTGGAGAGTGGCTCCTTACGGTAGCTCTGATTCAATTAAGGATTTCAGGGCCCTGTATTTCCCTTTCCTGACAGTGTGTGCTAAACAAGTGCAAATGAATTACAGCCCAATTATTTTCTCCTGATCCCTAATGATTCTGGGTGCATCCATGCACCGAGATCTGTGAGAACTTTAGGAGAATGAAAAAACCACAGGCGTGCTCTGCTTTTGGCATCTGGCCCTGGTTTTTATGCATGAAAATCGAGTTTCTTGTTCGTGGAACACAAGCAAACAAAACACCATGTCACCAACACAGTGCAGAGAAGGGCTGGTCCTTCTCAGTGCTCTGCTCTTCCAAAGGGCACCCAAGGGTGCCTGGAAAGCTTCTGCTCCCAAGGATGGTGGGGAAATAGCAGAACACACTGGGGCATCCTCTGAGGGGCTCTCCTGGTGCTGCAGCTTCATCTCCACCTGTGTAAAACGTGGGGGTCATGTGCTGGTCTCTCCCTTCCTGCTCATGGTCCTCCTGTCCCTTCTCCCTGTGTTCCCAACACCGTCAGTGGTGCTGTATCATCACCTGTTATCCACAGGAATTTTGGCACATTCGTATGTTTGGCATTTCTTTTTTTCCTGCTTCCTGCCTCTGTTTCTCCTTTACTGGCTCATTAAAAAAGAAAAAAAAAAAAAGTGCAATTTATCTGTTTCAGAGATGCCAGTTCTGGTAAAGCCACTGAGGACTGAGGTTCTCCCTCCCTTACCCCCAGTACTTCATTATTTATGACACACCAGCATGTCCCAGGTTGTCCTCAAGCAACTTGAAAAATTCCTCAGAGTTATCAACCCCTGAGGGCTTGAAACTGAAGAGTGAAAGGCCTGAAAAGAGGGAGAGCAAAAGTGTTTCTCTGCCTCTTGGCTTGTCCGATCTCATCCTGGATGCCAGCAGCTTTTCCAGTTGTGTGTCCTCTGTTGGCTCATGTGGAGCAGGTCATTTCACAGGGATTTGTTGTGGGATCACTGATTCCCAGGGATCCTCGTGCCTCAGTTTTGGATGCTCAGTGCCTGGGGAGCCTCTCACACCAGGGAGAACTCGGCCTGGAAGCTGGAGCAGCGGCGCGTCTTTGGCGAGCACTTGGTCAGCATGGAGATCTGGGTGCTGAAGTTGGTGCCGTTGCTGCCCAGGGAAGGGTGGTGGTACTTCATGTCCGAGCCCAGGAACCGCTCCAGGTGCCACCTCCGCCACTTCCTCTTGAGCTCAGCTTGCACCTGGGCATGGGAAAGATGAAAAAGGCAGCACAGGGCATCACTTGATGTTCACAGAATTCCCAGAATGACCAGGTTGGAAGAGACCTTCAAGAGCATTGAGTCCAAACCAGCCCCAACACCTCAACTCAACCCTGGCACCCAGTGCCACATCCAGGCTTTGTTAAACACACCCAGGGATGGGGACTGCACCACCTCCCTGGGCAGCCATTCCAGAACTTTATCACCTTTCTGTAAAAAACTTTTTCCTGATATCCAACCTAAACTTCCCTTGGTGCAGCTCGAGGCTGTGTGCTCTGATTCTGTCAGTTCCTGGAGACAGAGCCCAGCCCCAGCTGAGCACAGCCACCTTTCAGGAGCTGTGGGGAGTGCTGAGGTCACCCCTGAGTTTCCTTTTCTCCAGGCTGAGCACCCCCAGCTCCCTCAGGGGTTCCTCACAGGGTTTGTGTTCCCAGCCCCTCTCCAGCCTCGTTGTCCACTCTTGACATGTCCCAATGTCCTTCCCAAACTGAGGGCCCAGAACTGGGCACAGCCCTCGAGGTGTGCCCTCAGCAGTGCCCAGCACAGGGGCAGAATGACCTCCTGCTCCTGCTGGCCACACCATTCCTGATCCAGGCCAGGAGCCACTGGCCTTTGGCCACCAGGGCCCGCTGCTGGCTCGTGTCCAGTCACTGTTGACCAGCACCCCCAGGTCCCTTTGTGCCTGGGCACTGCCCAGCCACACCGTCCCCACCCTATTCTGACCTGGTTATGTGAGCAGCCTTGGCTAACCCACCTGCCCTGGGACCAAGGATTTTATAAAGGCCACTAAACTTGGCTTGGCCAGGACTTTAAATCACATAAAGGGAACACTCCAGTCAGTAAATTACTGGAGCAGAAATCTCTGAGCATCATCAGAAAGGAAATTCTTATTGATACAGTTAAGGTGCCAGACTACTTAACTTCAATGACAACACTTGGTGAGTGTAATTAAGATGGTTTCCTTTTCACTGCCCTGTTTTTGTTCCAAATAGAAATGATTTAACTACAGCTTGTTTGTAAAGCTGTCAATACAGCTGTGCTTCTTTTGACAGAAGCTGCTTGCTGCTGCTCAGAGTATTTACAGAAATAACCTGGTTTATGCCATCCCAATTCAAATCCTGAACAAACCTGGCCACTGTCCTTGTCCCCTCCTGCAAGCCCTCCAGTGCAAATTTTTAGGTAACAGCATGAATCAGATGAAACAGCTGTGTCTGAAGTGCTCTGGGATAAACAAACACAGGGACAGCACAATGCCAGGATGAGAATGCCAGGACTAAAATGTGGGAAAGTCAAGATTATTCCTGCAAGGCAGAAACATGTTCACCTGCACTGCTCTGTGCAGTCACACCAATGCCTGTGCTGGTTTTGGCTCTGGGTGTGATCCTGGGGAGGATTCCTGGGGGTACTAAGCATGAACTGGGTATGGATGGGATTTATCCTGCCCTGCTGAAGGTGGTGCTTTGGGATCAGGGATTGTGCAAGTTCACACAGGAGTGCTGCTGATGCTGTCTCATGAGGAGAGGATGGGCTCAGCAGCAACGCTACAGTGCAAGCACAAGTCCTGATGTGTTTATTGATTGTTTTTATTAATTGTGCTGAAAACTGTCAGGCAAATGGTTGAATTGTTTTCCTGGAGAGAGAGAGAGAGATGTGATTTGGATGCTTCTCCTCAATATTGTAACACCAGGATCAGGAATGGAACACTTCTCAATCCACTTTCCACATGCATTCATTTTGTCCTAGCTGCAAACATTAACCAAAAAGCCCTGATGGTCTGGTCTTACCTCTCCATTGAGAAAGCAGTACAAAATAGCCACCACAAATCCCTGGGGAAAAGAGAAAACATGATTTTAGCACTACAGACAGAGTGTAGATCCATTCAGCTCCCAAAGGAGAGACCACACAACCACAGAAGTGTTCAGGTTGGAAAAGACCTCTGAGGTCATCAAGCCCAACCATTCCCCCAGCACAGCCAAGTCCACCACTAACCCATGTCCCCAAGTGCCACATCTGCACAATTTTTGAACACTTCCAGATGTGCAGTGATGGTGATGTAGTCAGGGGTGTAAATCATTCACTGCTGAATGAAACTTGCTGTCTCTGGCCTTGGACATGTCAATAATACAAAAACAGAAACAGAGGTGTTTCTTTTTCTCCCTAAAGTATGAAAAAACACAGAGACACCAATGTACAGAGGAACATTTTCATTTCCTAAAATGAGGGAAGAGAATCTCCTTCTGGGAGGCAATATATAAATTTATCTTTCATCCTGGCCATGCTGGAGTTAGTAGATTTTCCACAAAGGTACGAGAGCAATATGGGGCATGTCCAGAAAAACCCGTGTCCAGCTCATTGCATTTCTCCCTGGTGACAGACCTAGTGACAGACCTGGTGACCCAAATGGTGGCTTACCTGGAATGACCCAACCACCAGCTCAAAGACCAGCTTCACTTCTGCTTTGAAATTGTCGGGGAAGAAAGCAAACATGATGTAGTGAATGCCAAAGAGAGGGATCAGCAGCAGGGTGGACTTGGCCAGCCTCCTGTTGGAAAGACAAACATGAGCCATGAAGGGAGAGGGAAGAGGGTAAGAGGCTGAGGAATCCTGCAGCTGAACCTTGAAATAAAATTTAACCCTGAAAATTTATTATTTTTCCTTGTCCCACGGACTGCAGATTGCTGGTGGTTTCAGACCTGGTGGCACCATAAAATGTTTATGACATTTTTATTCCCAGTAGCTACACTGGAGGTATTTCTTTCTCCCTCCTCTCTTCTTCCCCTCCCACCAGAGATCTTTTTTTCATCTCTACAAGCTAAACCATCATCTAGCAATGTCTTTGTTTGCCTGGGATTTCTGAAAATTACAGCTTCTGGGAGAGAAATGGTATGTTTAGCTGAGAATAATGACAGGCTACTGCACAATGAATGTCTCCAAAGGAGGGGGATGAACAGTATTAGTGCTTAATGGCATCATGCTGGGTAATCAGGGGTCTAATTGGGAAGAGATGATCATGCATTAAATCTAATCATTATTTAAAAGTAGCTGGCAGAAAGAAAATGAAATCAAGGGTCTAAGGATGCTTGTGGGGGTTTTGTCTCCCTCGGCCACTCATATCCTCTGACATCTCCCCCTCTTTCAGAGGCTCCTGGAGGAAATACAGCTAGGGCTGGGATGTTGGAGATACTAATTTTTCCACCTGCAATCTCCAAAGCCTCATCAGGCTCAGACCTCTCAGACCATCTTCATTTATTTGCCACCTGCAGGAGCCCACTGGGAGGCTGATGTGGCAGCTTTGCGCAGAGGATGCTCATCCCTGTGCTTCCCAGAGCTCCTCTGTAGCTCTCCCCAGGCCTGGCCCAGAGACAGCTCAACATTAAGGCTGTGACTGGAGGCTTTGGCTCATCCCAGACAAAATAAGAGTCTGCAGGAAGATGAGGAACTTTACAGGAGTTTATCTTGCCCACCTTCCTCACTAGCAGGCATATCTCTGCTCACAGGGATCCAAAATCTGAGTTGTCTTGGGTGCTTTGCTCTGCCACAGGACTGCCACAGTCTCTGGTGAGCATCAATGTTCCTTGTTCCTCACTGCAGAAGCAGCTCTGGCCAGTGGGACCCATGCTGGCATTACCAGCCCTAATCTCCCCAGCTGTGTGGGAAGTGGGAAGTCACTCATTTCCCAAGCAGTTCAGTGAATATCAACAATGGCTTTGCAGAGATCTCTCCTCTCTCCCCAATCTCTGAGGAACATCAGCCTAGAGAAGTAGATGTGGGGCTACCTTTGTGTCCTGCATTGACAGAGATGCATTTGCAACCTCCAGTGGATTAGAAAATTTTATCTTATCATTGCAGACAACACTGGGGCCTTAATTACAATATTTTCCCTCCTGGCTGGACTGTGGTAATGAAAAGAACATTAATGACAAAACTTGAGCCCCCTCCTCCAATTTGCACACCTTGCACCAGTCTCTTGCTCCCAACACCGAGCTTCACCAGACACTGGGTTTTAGATTTTATTTTGGCATCAAGGCAAGGGCTCTGTGATTTTTAAAAGACTCCACCACCTAAACACTGCACTCAGGAAAATCATCATCCAGTCCCAGTGTAATTTCTCCCAGGAAGCTCAAGCCTGGCTGTGCAGGAGGCAGAACTGCTTGGGGGATTGTCTAAAGCTGGTTAAATCTGCTGGAAACCATGGATTCTCAAACCCTCATTACTCTGATTCCCAGCACACCCCAGACCTCTCCTCTCTGACAGGTGACAGGTAATTTTGGGAGAAAACGAGTCCATTAACCTGCATGGAACCTGCTCCTGTCCTTGGGAGTGGCCAAGAGTGAACCAACATTTCAGCCACGCTCCTTGAAATCCTAATGGAAAAGTTACTCAGAAGATTTAATGACAATATTGATCCACAGACAGAATGGAGAGATGAATTTTGCTCAAGTTCTTTGTTGCAGAAGACAAATTCTATTTGCCTGAAATATTGCTGTCCCGTTCTTGCACATGTCCCTGCTATTTCCACAAAACTCTTTTGGAGACTTGTTTTTAGAGCTTCCTGTACATGAAAGCCCAGTTCCCTGTCTGCAGCATTAATGAGGGAGTCAGCAGCACACCTGAGCTTACAGCCTGCAGCTAAGCTCAGACCTTCTGGAATGGAACAATGCTGTCAGCTTGTCAGCAGGCTGTGTGTGTAGAAAATAAACAATATAAAATACACATGAGAAGGAGGGAGAAATGGAAATGAGATATCCAGGATGCTGTTAGTTTAAAACAGATTTGTCTCAGATTTGGCAGGAGGAATGCACACAGAATCACAGAAGCATTTGGTTGGGAAAGACCTCCCAGACCATCGAGCCCAAGCTGTGCCTGATGCCCACCTTGACCCCAGCCCTGAGCACTGAGTGCCATGTCCAGGCCTTCCTTGGACACCTCCAGGGATGGGGAGTACAAACCTCCCTGGGCAGCCCCTTCCAGTGCTTCACAACCCTTTTGGTGAAGAAATTCCTCCTGATGTCCAACCTCAACATCTCCAGGCACAACTTGAGGCCATTTCCTCCCATCCTGTCACTTGTTCCTGGGAGAAGAGCCCAGTCCCCATCTGGCTCCAACCTCCTTTCAGGGAGCTGTGGAGAGCAGTAGGATCACCCTGAGCCTCCTCTTCTCCAGGCTAAACACCCTCAGCTCCCTCAACATTTCAGCAGCAGTTATCTGCTAAGAACTGTTGGGTCCTACAGTCAAACCCCAGAAGCCTCCACAGATTAATGTCTAAAACTAAAAATCTTAGGACCACGCTGAGAACTCTTCTTGGTGGGGTCCAGCCTTCAGTTTCAGACAATTAATTTTTGTTTCCATAGGAAAGTGTGATGTGTTGTACCTAATGCAGTGAATTCGGTCAACAGCGTCTTCCAGATGTCCCAGCCAGATGTGGCTGGTGGCCAGGTGCTACTGTACAAGGTGACAAGTGTCCCATAGGTCCCATGTCCTATCTGACAAGTCTGTGCAAGTATTGGAAGTGTCCTAAAGCACCTCATGTGGCTTGGAAACTTAAAATTTTAGGGCCAAGTTGGAAGGAGCTCTGAGCACCCTGGGGTTGTGGAAGGTGTCCCTGCCCATGGCAGGGGGCTGGAACTGGATGAGCTTTAAGGTCCCTCCCAACCCAAAATGTTGCAGGATTCTATGATTTTATGAAGTGATTCATTCTCCAGTGGAACTGAGCCATCTTTCCAGGTGGTGAAGGAAGGTGAGAATCTGTAGATGTCAGGATCAGTCGTCCTTCAGCAGAACCCCCTGTTGAGCAGGTCATCAGTGAGGGGGATTCTGTGTTTCACCAACATGCCCTACGTCTGTTCACAAGGCAAAAAGAGCTTTCTTGACTGCTGCACTTCCCTGGAAAATGTGTCCTGAGCCCAAAGCCCAGCATGACCTCTGGGATAATCTGGGCATAACTCATCAGGTGCATGTTGGCAGCACTTTTGCTGAGGTGAACAGGAGCCAGCAGTGCCAGGATGCTGCTCAGTACTAGAACGTATTTAAATATGCTGATTTAATCTGTGCACCTGCTGCAAAGCTGGTGTGCAAAGATACAATTCCCAGTTGGAAATCCAGAAGGGCAGGTGGTAGAAAGCACAGGGTCTGGTAATGTAGGTGTGTTGTGATGAAAGAAAAATAGGTAATTGTCTTTGGCTGCTGCCAGGAAAATTAAGGTCAAGACCTGGCATTTCCTTTCATAAATCTGAGAATTTCTCGAGGCAGATTAAATGAATAATTCACCATCACCAGAGGGAAAGTCTCAGTGCCATGGCTGGGCAGGATTTAAGGAACATATTGTTACTTTTTTCCATCCTGCAGGAAGATGGAGTGAGATTTTTCAGGGTACCCAAAAGCACACCTCCCTCCAGAGACAAAGATTTACAAGTAGTAGTCATGCAGACACTAGACTCTTTTCATTTAATTATTTTTTAGGAAACATTTAATAAATATCCAGTGTAGTTGAAAAGGGGAGCCAAAACAGTGTCAAAAATAACCCGGTCTGGACTTTTATTTTATTTGCATTGAAGCCAGAATAAATCTATGCAGATAGACATTTCCTTCACTCTTAAAATACTGCAGCTGAGACCAGCCTTGGCCACTGAGAGATGTTGATCTCTCTGGCATGTTGTTCATTGTATAAAGCCCCATTAAGGTCAACCTCATATCCCTGGAATAAAAGTATTAAGTCAAGTAAAACTTCTAAGACTGATTCTTCTCAAATGAGCAGAGAAATGTATTGAGTTAATCCAATCTTGTTTAGAGATCTCTTTTAGCATGAGGAAAAATTGTTATAGATCCTACTGAATGGTAATTTTCTAGATCTCTCCTTTAAAACTGAGGGTCAGGAAAAAAAGGCTGGAGAGCAACTTTTTGTTTTCCATCAGGGTCCTTCTGCCTTCAGAATCCAATAAATATTAAATATTCAAAGAAAAAATATATTTGGTTTCATGATCATTATTATTACTCTCATTTCTTCATCATTAATCCCAGAAGAAATCCCTCTCACCTGCCACGAACTGCCATAAAACGCGCCCAGTTCTTTTAACAAATGTACCATTTCCTGATTTCTAATCTGCTTTAAGTAATTAAAATTAATTGATTTTGATCAGCGCAGACAGATGCAATCATGAAAAAAGATGCAATAATGAACTATCAAGCAGACAGGCAGATTTCCCAAAAAACACTGGACAGGCTTGGAAAAGTCTGAGACTTACGAATATTGGCTGGTTTCGTTGTGCCCAACATCTGGGGAATGCAGCTTCTGGACTAAGATACGGATGATGCAGATGAAGAGGATGAAGTTCACCTGTGGAGATGGGAAGAGAAAGGTAAAACATCAGCATTTTTCTCCAGGGAAAAGAGCCCACGACTAGAGGGGAATTCCTCTCACTGGAATGGTTTTTGCCATGGAAGGAGAGAACCATGAGCAGAGAGAACCCCGCTCGGGGGCGGGGAGCACATGGGAAACCGACACAGGATGGCATCTTGGGCCTGACATCAGCCTGCTTGGGACTTCGTGTCATACATCCCAAGTATGATGATGTCAAGCCCATCGAGCACAGCTCCGCACGACGTCCTGCTGCGTGACATGGGACCAGCTGCTGAGCCTGGTGAGCCAGGGAAACCAAACCAAAACACGAAGCAGGATCCACTCCAGCTGGCCTCTGCTCAATCCTATTTGATGGTGTAGGATTTAGGTTTTATGTTTTTCACATCCTGTACTGCTTTAGGGTATAGCTCTAAAACTCCATAGCCTGTCAGCTGCTGTTCTGCTGTTTTATTCAGACAAAACAATTCCTCTTTATGTGTGAAACTCAAGAACACCTGACTGTCTCAGGCCCTGAAATGTATAAACAAAAGTGAGGAAACTCGGGGTATATGACTTCATTACCTGAAGCTGTAATTGGAGGGTTTGACGCCTCAGGTTTTAACTTTTTTTCTTTTTTTTTGCATATTCTGTGCTGCTTTAGTGTGTGGGTCTGTGTTTCATATCAGGGCATGGTGAGCTCTCTGCACAGAGTAGGGAGACAAAACAATTCCTTCTCCTGCTGGGGACCAAGGACAAATGATCCAAATCTCAGGCCCAAGAGCACAAATAGCGTGGGCTGGAGAGAGAAAAACAAGGAGGATGGGGCTGCATGGGCTAAAGCTGAAATTGGACAAAGGTGCAAATGGACCAGAACTTATAAAAATATGAGATCTTATAACCAAGCTCTCTTTTGCTTCCATCTTACAGCCATGCAGGCAGAGCCACGACTGTGGCTCTGGTACTGCCAGGGTGTGGCCTTTGAAGGCTCTTCAGTAAATATTCTCTTTATTTCCCCTAACTCCGTCCAGCCTCTGTTCCAGCTGCTTAAGGCATCAGTTTAACCCCAGTATGTAAATGGACCAAACTTGTAACTGTATGAAAAACTCATGACCATCATCCATCCTGGGTGTAGGCCCTCTTGGGGGCTTTCGACTGCCCAAGGTGAACCTATTGAAGGCCTTTAATAAATGCCCACTTTTATTTTCTCAATCTTGTCCAGCCTCTGTTTCAGGTAGCCACTCCAAGGCATCATACTGGCCATGTTCTGTCTTGTGCAGAAAGGGATAGGCCTCACCAAAGCAGTGGGGAGCGTTCCCTCCTGGGATGTCAGACCGGAGCAGTCTGGCTGACACCCAGATTTTAGGTGGTTCTTTTCACCCCAAAATCTCACAGTGCTTTGCCAATGTACTCAAACAATGTGAACCTTATTTAACAGGAAAGGTGTAGAGCTAGGAATTGGAATGTCCTGATGGTGTGAATTGAATGCAAATCTGCTTCTTTCAAGGTCCTCTCTGTTGAGTCATCCTTTTACTCATGCAACACAGACAACAGAAAAGCAATGACAGATTCCTGGGGACTTAGTTCAGTTTTAGTTTGGCACACAGCCCCTTTCTTTATCCTTTCATGGTCAGTGAATGTGCAAATGATTCTAGTTTCTAGAGGCTCAGCAGCTGGACGGGATTGTGTTAAACCCGCCAATCTGACTCCCTGCAAAAACAGATTATAAGAGTTCTTCCAGCAATACCTACACTTACCACAACAATAGATGAATAAAACAGACTGAAGCCCATCTCCCAAATAGACACTCTTTTTTCAAAGCCTTTGAGTGATTAGATATCCATCACATTTCTTGTTTGTAATGTATTGCTTAATCACTTCTTACCTATCCTGAGCAATTTATCATAGTTTCTGTTTGTATTTATTTCCTCAAAAAATGGTTTATGCGTCTGATTTGGTGGGAAGTGAAATTTATTAGTCCAAATGAGTATTATCTAGATCAACTACACTAATAAGCATTGATAACACACAAGCTGCTTCAAGGAAGGCAAGAATGGAGCAATTAATAAATTAATAAATTCTGAATGTGTTGGCTTGAAGAGATCAAGAGCAAACATGGAGTGGAGTGTAATATGTAGGCTTGGTATAACCTTGGAATTCCATGGCAGAATATACAGGAATCAGGATATTGGAGAAGTTGTTTAGATTATTTTTTATCCCTAGAGCATAACCAAAGTAATCAATGTGTTCCAGTGCTTAACACCTTGTGCACAAGACATATCTCATGCACCTTAAAGATCTTACAGATCTTGTCTATGTATTTCTTCCTTACACTGAGATATCAGCTGTATTCCCACGGATTTGGAGGAAATGTTGCATTATCCCCTGGAGAAACCTGCTGTTCATCAGCCAGTGGCTATCATGCCCTTCCTTTAGGACAGATTTATAGGATATCTGCTGGAGGAAAATCAGGAACTGCTGAGTAAATTCTGTTTGGCAACGAGGAAAAGATTTATTGGCCAACAGAAAATACAGACCCATTGATCTGAGGAGAATAAAAGGGTGTGTTTTTCGACTGAAAGCATATTTCAGGAATGGGAAAATACCATCTATAGCTTTCTAGGATGATATAAATATTTGGAGATGTGTCATCTGAGTAATATATTTCTTTCCAGTGAGGTAAACAGAGCAAGATGTCATTACTGAAACTTTCAGTCTGGAATCCCTACATGATAAATGCCACAAAAAAAAAATCTTTAAGTCTTCTTGTAAAAGTCATAATGTACATGGAATAAGTAAGATGTCTAAGGAAAGATTTCTGTTTAAAATATATATATTTTATTTATGTTGCTCTTTTTCTTTTTTTTTTTTTTTTTTTATGCTTCCTTTCCCACATCCTTGACTTCATTTAAGAAAACTCAAAGCTAAGTTTAACTCCAGTTCATTTGATTTTACTGTTTGGATCCATGCCCAACAGAGCTATTTCAACATGGATGGAAGGACCCAGAGTTCCTGAGAAGTGTCCTGGTTTCTATGGTCAGGACTAATCATATCCAGAGAATTAAAATCAAACACTTCAGTTGATTTTTCTGTAAATCAGCCAAACTTCTCTAGAACTTACTCCAAAAATACACAGCTGGAATGCAACTCTGTGCTGCATGCAAGAGGCAAATTCCTGAGGGAATTAATCTACTTTTTATTTAAGTGGAAATTCATGGTAGGACTGATGTTAATTTGTAGGGCTGACATCTACAACAGAACAAGTCATCCTGGTCAGCTCAGAGGAACAAAACCACTCCTAGCACGGGTCATATGATGGAATTCAGGCACCCACTGACTCCTGAGGCAAAATAAGCTTTTCCTGGGTGTCCAACCACCTTCCTCCATCTGCCATGGCCACCCCACCAAGGAGATGGAGGTGGAGATGGAGGTGGTCAAAGCTACATCAAGTGAGCTCCACCCCGGTGGGCTGGTCACTCCAACTCCTCCAGTGATCAGTGCTGCAGGTGAGGGGGTTTATCTGGAGGAGAAATTTCCTCATCTTAAAGCAAATGTTCAATGCACAGTGGGATTTTACCTGGAAGTGCATTTTCCATGGATATTTACAGGACACTTCTCATCACCCCTTCACCCCCTCCCCAGACAGGACTAAAGATGACTTTGCAGCCAGCAGAACATGCTGATACTTTACCAAAATAGACACCAAAATAGGAGTTTTAATGATCCACCAGAATGGGGATTCCACTATTTCCTCCCAGCACCTAAAAAGAAAGAAAGCCAGATTTAAAACATCAAACACAGCAAGCAAGCAGGTCTGTAACCTTCTCAGCTTTCCCTAAAAGCTAAGTTTTGCTAGGCTGGGTTGTGTGAAGAGGACTAAACCGAATGTGAATGGTCTGGGAATGGCCAAAACTTGCTTTGCAGTGGCTGTGAGAACTAGTAGGTACAAAATATCCCAGAGGTAATGCAAATTTTTTCCCCCTTAGCCATGGGCTGGACAATGTCAAGCAGAGTGAACATGGGGGAGGATGGTGACTTTCTTAATTCCTCCTACACTGAGCTCTGCTGCAGGGAAATTCTATCAAAACCATGAAAATCTATCAAAATCTATGAAAAGATTCACCAGGGCTCCAGTGCTCTCCACCATCCTTGATGGAGGGGGTTTGATAAGCACAGAGCAATTGGCACCAGCAGAAAAAAAATTGCCACCAGTAGAAAAAAAACCATTTTTTTCATCCTTGTGAAAAAAATACCAGCCAGTGGTGGGGTTAGTCTCACTAAATCCAGCAAGCTGCACTTGAGCTGTGCATGGAGCTAAAAAAGTGCCCAGGGTCCAGGGTGGGATTTATTTTTTTCTTTATTATTTATTTAACCCTGAAGCCAGAGCTGTCTGCACACACCACCCCTCACCTGGGACTGCATTCGAAAGCCAACGAGGAAACGAGAGGAAAGGGCTGATGTGGAAATGACTGATACTGCTTGGGACACATTTATCTGCAAATTCAGGTGATAGAAGGTGCATTTTTAGGAAAGCATTCATGGAAATTGGGCTGCTTTCATATAAGAATAGATTAGCAGAGCCTTCTGCAGACAATTTCACCCAGATTCAGCTCCTCTAATTCCAAATGTTGGCAGTAGGAGATGAAGAGAGGCACTTTTAGGGCATAGTTCTTAAGACCTATTTTAAGCATCAACTTTAGGATGATAAAAATTGCATTCCATGGGTTACACTGACAAAATCTGCCCTAACTCTACAGGGAAATGAAGCAAATTTCTCACATACAGATGCTTCCAGTTAGGTGTATGCTGCCCTTTCATTTAGAATTAAAGTGGCCCTAATTATGTCTAGTGCACTTCATTTTTGAATTAAATTGAGACAGTCTCAATAAAGGTCACTTTCACTTGGAGTTAGAATGCTTAAATAAAGTCTTAGTGTTGTTTAACCAATCTTACCTAATTAGGGTTTATTTAATCTGGATAAATTTCCTGTAATTTTTTTTCTGCAGGTAATAATAATAAAACAATCTGTGTTAGGTATTAATATATTCTGTAAATTCATACTCTGTTCTACTCAGCACAAAAATGTAGGGCTTTAAAACCTCCAGAAAATGCAAAGAATCCTGTATTTTTATCAAGAATTTTTGGAGCTGAATAGGAATATATAGTAAGAAAAACTGGTATCCAAAATGGTTAAATCCTCCTGTCTCTGTCTCGTTGTAGAGGCTATTTATTAACAGAGTAAATAAGGTCACTGTTATGCAGATAGAGTGAAACCATAAAGGAAGTGAGTAGCCCTCAGGAAATGTGCTGGAATTACTATAAATCAAAAATGCAGTGAGAAATCTGAGCTGCTTCTTGTAGAGAAAAAGGGGCAAATCAGGACACATTTGGAGGGGAAGAATGCATGGGAGAAAATGGACTTAACTCCAGGATGCAAATGCAAGAAGTGAGGGAATGCATACTGAGGACAGAATAAGCACTTAATTCTGCATTTCCCTGGGGTCTTTTCCTATAAAACCCTTTCAAATTACTGCAGTCTGACCACTTGAATAAAAGCAAGAATGAGAATTTCAGGATCAAATCCTCTTTAATTGCACATATCCTTCTGCCTCATTTTCTTAGCTGCATTCTATCTGCTTCTTACAAAATATCAAAGGCTGCTGCTAGGTTAAAAGGGATGAAAAATAGATCCTAAAATCTCCTTGAGAAAAGAAAAAAAATTTAGGCTTTTGCTGTGGGAGAGAATTGGGTGTGTTTATAAATTCCCTGCTGCGTGTTTAGTATCAGTTCTGCAGGGTGCAAAGCTCTGCTGAGCACAGGGACAAATGCAATCATCAAGGGCTGCTCACAAATTCCCTGCAAATATCCTGACCAAGGCACTGGGAAGTAGAAAGGGGGAGTGATTGGCCTAAAATGACATTTCAGAGAGACCTTGGAGGGCTTCTTGGTGGCAGGGAAGAGGTGCCACTGCTGCTGGGTTTTGGGTTGCTGAGGCTGCAGGGCTTTCCTTGGCCATAAAGGAAAGCAGATTTAGAAAGGAAAGATAATGGAGTGCACAGGCTTACCCAACATCAAAAAAGTAAATCCTGACAATAGTCCAGGCAGTGATGAACACGGAGGGGGCACCTGAGGGGAGAAGAGATGGTGCTGCTGTCAGAAATCATGATCAAATGGTTACTTGACTTCATTACCAGATTGTTTAAAATCTGACTCATTTCTCAGGGCTGTTCTCCCTCCCTCTTCACCTCTCCTGAGTGACTGAGGGGATGCCTTCCCTCAGGGGTGGGAAAATACTTCACATTTTCAACCCTCATGTGCCAAACTGGCAATGTTTGCTTTCCCTCCCTGCGGCCATGCAAGATCAGCTCTCTGGAACTGCTCCCAGCATGTTGATATTCCTGTTGCAGTGCCCAGAAAAACTTCCCAGGGGTGAAATGCAAGGAACAGGGATCACTTGAGCCACCTACAGTGTGGACACCTGTGGCTAAGGAGGTCACCACAGGTTCTCCTTAGCACCAAGGGGCAGAATTTTTTATTTCTCACACAAAGGTCACCCACCTAAATGACCTGTGTGCTAAATAATGTAAAATGTTTCATTTAGAACAATAAAAATGAAATATCCCTGGGCTCTTTTGCCCTGTAAGGGAGCCTGGAGTGCCAAGTTCACATACAGCTGTCTGTAGCTGGCCAGGTGAAGCTGCCTGTGCTCCTCACTCCGTGGTCTGTCATGTTAGGGTGGTCTTGTCCAATTCTTGTGCTGGATCTTTTCTCTCTCATATTTTTGACTGGATTTAGGTTGGAAATACTCCAGGAAGGACACACCTCTTTGCTCTGTGTTACTCACAGATTGTGTACACTTAATTACCAGTGATTTCCAAGTGCATTGGTACTAAACCCAATAAAAACTGTAATTAGTGAATCCAAATCATTAATTCATGCATAATCCATTCCAGATCCATCCCTGACACTCTTGAAAATGATGGATGGCCAAAGTCCCCTCAAGCACTTGCCATGCTCTGGAATTGCCCTTCTGCACCCAAGCAACCTCAGGACACATTGGGAGTGCAAGAAATTTCCTTTCATTTTAATCGTTACCTTTGTGCACCTTTCTTTACAACCTGCCAGCTCTCCAGTGCTGAAATAAAGAATATCTGGAGCACAAGGTGAGGTTAACAAAGGTCTGACCTGAGTAACTGAAATGAGACCTGCTCCCACCATCCTTCCTTCTGCCCAGAGCACGGAGAATCATCTCTCCTTGGCAGTGTGAAGCCGAGCGTAGCTCCTGTCACTTTCAGTGGGACTTACTCCATGGATAATTGAGCAAATCCTGAGTCCTGGCATGTCCCTGGACACGGCACAATTTTATTTTAACTTTTCTTCTCAAGATTCTTCCCTGCTCGTATTATTTCTCAGTTTCAGCTATTGAGAGCAGGCAGTAGAAGGTTATCTGCTTACTTAAATAGAAATCTTCAACTAAATGGCATGAAGGGGAAAAAAGATCTCTGTTGCCTCTTTGGAGAAATAAAAGAAATTGTTCAGGTAGGATTGAATTGCATAAGTCAGCAATTCAGTTGTGAATTACTTTGTGAAGAGCTTAATTCTCTCTTCCTTACCATTATTTTATTTTATTTTATTTTATTTTATTTTATTTTATTTTATTTTATTTTATTTTATTTTATTTTATTTTATTTTATTTTATTTTATTTTATTTTATTTTATTTTATTTTATTTTTACATTTAAAAAAATTATTTTATTTTATTTACATTATATAATTTAAATTTACTTTTATTTGATGCATTTGAAACCAGATTTGCATTAAGGCTGGAGAAATCACCAATGCAGTGAGAAGCAGGTTATCAGCATTAGCACAAAGGTGATGGGATCTCAGGGCAGCTGGCTGGCCTGAATTCAGTGCCTTGTTCAGTCCGGGACTTCTGCTTTGCTGGGATCCATCCTTACAATTTAATGTGATGACATCAAATTCAGAATCCCAGCCAGGATCAAGGAATTCCTTCCCAATATCCAATCTAAATCTACTCTGTCAGCTTGAAGCCATTTCCTGTTGCCCTGTCCCTCCATCCCTTGTCCCCAGTCCCTCTCCAGCTCTCCTGGATCCCCTCTAGGCTCTGAGCGCTTCCTGGAGCATTTTCCTCTCCAGGTGAACATTCCCAGCTCTCCCAGCCTGGCTCCAGAGCAGAGGGGCTCCAACCCTGGAGCAGCTCCGTGACCTCCTCTGGAGTTGCTCCAACAGCTGCACATCCTTCTTATTTTAGGGACCCCATGGCTGGATGCATCTCTTCAGGTGGAGCCTCAGATGAGGAGAGCAGAGGGACAAAATCACCTCCCTGGGCCTGCTGCTCACGTTCCTTTTGATGCAGCCCAGGGTTGCACCAGTTGGGCTTTTGGGCACGTTTTGAACTCGTGTCCAGCCTCTCATCCACCAGCCACTCCAAACACTTCTTAGGACTTAAGGAAGGCTGGGTGCTGTCTACAACACCCCTGCCCCACCTGAGTCCCCGGGTATCTGTGCTAAATTCTTGCTAAAAATGCCAGTCAGGATCCCCTCCTGGGGGAGATGCGTACCCCAGCCGATCAGGATGTACCACCAGAAGTATTTCCTCTCCGAGAAGAAGGAGATGACCAGCAGGGTGTGAAGGTACAGCCCCTCCACCAGCAGCCAGAAGAAGTTTGCCATGACACAGTACTGGAAGAAAACCATCATGGCCTTGCAGCCCACCTGGAAGAGAAGAAATGAACAGTGGTGAATTGTTGGAACCCTGGCTGCTGAAAATTTTGGATTTCTGTGCTGCCAGGCACTGACCCCCAGGAGAACACTGCATTGAGCTGAAGCCGAGGAGAAGCTTCCAAAATGGAATGACAGAACTGGGATTGTGGGTGTGGAGTTTGAATAGAAGTGTGTGATATCACAGGGTGGGAAACTCAGAGTTTGAGGGTTTAGAATACAGGAATAGATATAAAGCAAGATGGGGGTTTTAAAGCAGCAGCTAGTCCTTCTTCTTCACCTTCTTCTTAATGAATTTAAGTAGTATTGTGTAATTAGATTTGAAAAACATCTGCATTACAGAGCACAAGTAGTTAGTTATTAAGTTAAAAGTAAAAATAACTTGTCATTTCTTGATTAGATGATTTATCCTTAAAATAACCTTATAAAAAAAAAGATACCACTCAATTTTTGACTTATTAGAAAGAAATATTTTAAAACTCACACTTTATGAGACTGTAATGTAAATAAGAACTAATAAACATTGGAGGGAGGTTGTAGACAGGTGGGGATCAATCTCTTCTACTGGGGAGCAACTGGCAGAACAAGAGGACACAGCCTCAAGCTACATCAGGGAAGGTTTAGGTTGGATATTAGGAAAAAAATTTTCACTGAAAGAATAATAAAATACTGGAATTGTCTTCCTAGGGAGGTGGTGGCATCACCATCTCTGGATATGTTTAAAAAAAAGACTGGACTTGGCACTTGGTGCTATAGCCTAGTTGTGATGTTAGGGCATATGTTGGACTTGATGATCTTAGAGGTCTCTTCCAACCTCGTTATTCTGTGATTCTGTGATTCTGTGATTCTGTGATTCTGTGATTCTGTGATTCTGTGATTCTGTGAGTTTAATCAAGAAATACCATCTCACACATTTAATCCCAACCTTAACAAAAAACAAACAAACAAACAAATCCCTAAAAACATCCACATAGGGCTGCCCTGTGTGAGGAATTGTAGCACATTCCCACAGGAAGGAAATTTCCACCAAACTCCCAGTGCTCCTTGCTCTGGGTGTACCTTTTGGATTGCTTTGTGCAGCACCAGAACTCCTTATGGAATGAAATCTATGGTGAAAAGTCTACAAGAAGTTGCTCCTCTTTAGGAAAAGAAGGACTAGGATATGTGTTTTTAAAATAAAGGCTAGGCAGGAGAAGCAGGGCAAGCACACAAAAGCGTGCACAGGTTTTATTGCTCTGGAAGAGGAGAGATTTCAAAAGTGAAGGTGAATTGTTTACCTTCAGGAAATGAATAATTAAACACATTAACTTGCTGTGTGGAGATTTCACTGCAGCACAGGTAATGGGAACAGTTCCCTTAGCAAAGAAATACATATAAATGGAAATTTCTGACACTTAAGGGAAATTTCTGACAATTTGCACCCACTGCATCATTACAGATCCTCGAGATGCTGGCTCAGCAATTGCCCTGTTACCTTTGGTGTGTCTGCCTGGGTGACACCCTGCACTTTCTGGGGCAAGTGTTTGCTCTCAGTCCCTGGCTGGAGACACTTCCCTGATGTCCTTTACGTGTAGAATGTTTAATTTAGAGCAACAATTTTAATTTAGAGCACCTGTGACAAGACCTTATTTCCCCCTCTACTCCCCCCCTGCTGAAAGCAGTTGCTACGGAACACTGGTTAAAAGGAGAAGTGTGGAAAGAGTTTTTTCAATGCCACATGTTTTGGGGGGGACTGTCCTCACCCTCACCCCTAAACCCATGAGTGTGCGACCCTGGGGACCCTGAGGGGCTCCTGATAACCAACTTCTGTGCACATCAGCTGCCTCCTGTGAGGCACAGCACAGACACAGAGCTGCTGAGGGGTGCTGATGGGGGAAGGTGGAGGCAGAGCAGGAGGTGAACTCCCTTCCAGCTCAGAATAGTCTGTGTGTGACTTCAGGGGCTTCCTGAAGGAGGGGAGGTGATGCTGTTGAGGCAGGACGGGAATGAAATTACTCCACTTCAGAAAGTGAGAGAGTATAACTCTGATTTATTTCAAAATACATCACCCTTTATAGAGAGCTTCATCCAGACCAATTCCATTGGTCCTGAAGTGAAAACACTTCACGGTATTGGTGTGCAGTGAATGACACACAGTTGCAAAACCTAACTATAAACAATGTGAACAACAAGAGAGATAAAGAACTTATTTACATTCTTTCACAGAACTTTCTCAGGCTTCTGCCTGGTTAGAAATTTTCTGTTTTCTCTTTAACTGAATCTGAGACCTACATGGAGGTAGCACAGGGCTGGGCTGGCAAAGCTGGGGATGCAGCAGCCTCATCCCAACGGCATCACCATACGTTTGGTTTCTCTGTGACTTTGTGTCCATGTGGCTGTGGGACACTGTCACCCCTCCTTCCTTCCCCCCAGAGCCTGAGTGCCTGCTTGGTGTGTCTGCAGCCAGCAGGGATCTGTGTGTGAGTGAATTCCTTCATGGTTTCACTCTGGGGGTGTTGGGCCCTAATTCAGCAGCTCTCAGGTGAGGTTTAAGGGGGCAGAGCTGCTGCATCTCAAACTGTAAAACAGGGATTTCCTTTGGGGTTTTTACACCAAGGCATCACTTCTGGATGGCTGCACTGAACTCATGGCAGAGTTCAGCAAAAGGGGCTGCAAGGTTTCACAGGACAAGGGAAGGCTGCTCACAAAGAGTGCACCTGATTTCTGCCCAACAGAAAAGGAAAGGAAATCCATCAGGAAGGGATTTCCAGCCTGACTTTGCAGAGCTATTGCTGTACAGAGAGAAAGCTCTGCAGAACTCGGGCTGTAGCAGCAGAAACTGCAGATCCAAGTCCATCCCCTTGTCTCCCAGCACTGGCAAACATCAGTTTTGTGGTAGTCTCTGGCCCTAATTCCTCCCTTAAAGGGGTGGTGGCTTGTCACAAAGCTGAGGTAGATCATGGTTAGCAGTTGGATCCAATCATACATGAGTTCTTTCCAACCTTAATAATTCTATGGTTGTAATTTATTTATTTATTTTATTCTTTTATTTCTCCATGTATTTGGGCAGCAGCTGGGTTTTGGCAACTTCTTCTCTGCAGGACCTGCAGCAGATCAATTCTTTGCTCCTTGCTGAGGGATATTTGCTTATTTGAGCATTTCCTACCACTCCTGGAATTTTTGGTTTTACCTGGAGGAAAGACCTTTTTGTGCACAGCAGTAATGTCATGCAGCCAGGCACAGGGATGTTCTGCATTGGGACAGAGTTGGATGCACTGTCCTATCCTTAAAATTAAATAATGATATTTTTCCACTGCCTGGGCTTGCTACACCTGCCTAAATTGGGTAAGTTTAAAGCAAATATTTCTGCTAGAGTGCAGTTTGATTGTTGATGATCCCATTGATTCTCTTTGACAGTGGCACATTTGGAAAACAGTCCTTCCTGGCTTTTGGGAAAACTTATTCCATGCAGCACTTGATAATGAGTCTCCACCTTCCTGTTTGATTAAATTCAGCCTCAGACAGGCTGGTTTAATGCTGGGGAATAAAATCCTCTTTTATGTAAGATATCTTACCCTTTAGATGACAGACACAGGGCAGAGATGAACCATTACATCTCTAGAATTTATTTTTTTCCATAAAGAGCAGACCTCATGATGTGTCACTGTTGAAAAACTAACATGGGCTATTTTTAGAACAGACATTTTCAAGAGGAAAAGCTGAATTACATCACTGCTTTTGCTACTCTCTCTTCTTCCACAGGCTCATTTACAATTTTTTCCCTTGTCTTTCCTCAGGGATCTTGCTCTGCTCGTGTCCACAGGAGATGTGCAATGAGATGGTTTTTCCCTTGATTTGTGTCTTCTTTCTTGTTCCTCTCATTAGAGCTGCATCAGGCATGTGACATTTGCTTTTCCCATGAAAATCCCTCCCTTTCCACATGTGCTTCCAATGGCTGAGCTCTGGGAAGGGCTCTGCCTCCAGCCAACGAGGCATTGGACTGTTGGCCCCTCCTGACAAACTCTTGGACCCCAACACATTTGTGCTTTTCTGCAGATTCCTCACAGTCAATAAGAAAATTTCATTTTGATTATTGTAATAGGTTGCTTGAGGATGGGGCCTGTCTTAGACCTGCTCAAGGGCTTCCAAGAGGAAGAGGCAAAGAGAAGGGACACAAGGGTGGGAGCAAGACTGAGAAACAACACTGCCAGGCTTTTTCCTTGGGCCCAGTAGCACATTTTACTTTTGGATAATGTTAGCCCTGAGAAAAACATCTTTCTCCTCATTTTTTAGGAGGATCAGCTGGTCACTACACAAGTTTTACGACCCACCTATAAAAATACAGTTCAGATGCTGGAGGCAGTAATTAGCTCAGAGCTTAATCTGCACTAAATATACATATATCATTCTCCTCAGTAGCAATAGCTCATTCATAGCTCCTAAAATTTGTCAGGACCAGCTGATGAATTTCTCAAGCTCAATAAGACCAGCTTAGCTGGATGAGAATTGGTCTGAGTTTTTGAGGTACACAAACATCCATGATCAGCCTCCTGTGAATGCAATAAAACTCTATAAAAAAGGCAATCACTCCACAGAAATGCCAACACAAGCCTCCCTTGCCTTCTTTAGCGGGAATATGGTTTGTTACAGGTTTAGGATTTGGGTTCAGGAAGGATTTAGACCACGGAAGTACAAAGGAGCACGTGGGTGATTGATACCCCACCTGCCACAGCTGGACTGGGAGCACTGGAGTTTCACTGCCCCACGAGAATCCCCCATCACCTGTTCCTCCCCCTGTACAGAATTATGGAGTAGTTTGAGCTGGAAGGGACCTTCTAAAGGTCCCATCCTGCCTACCCTGTCCTGTGTATGGACACAACCCCTGTGCAGACCCCATGTTCCTCCTTCTGAGGCTTCCTGACATGTGGAAGGTTTGGGGCAGGGCACCAACACTTCTTTAAGTCAGATTAAAGATATATGGAAGACATCCCATTCAATGCTGGTCAGTGATGCAG